AATGCGGGCCAAAATTTTGTAGATCACGGCCGTTAGCCAATCAAAATCGAGGATCATCCGTGAAATTTTGGTGCGGCAGCTAGGTTCAATACGTACTACATAACAGGGTGTTCATAAATCGGTAAATCAAACCTTTTATGGATTTTTAATAATTTCGGAAATTTTCGGAAAATTAACTTTTTTCATTTTGTGATATTGTAATTATATTTTAAAACAACCAAAGATACACTTTTGAGCGAATGTACAATTTTTTTATGCCATATTTTTTGCTTAATCGTTAGCTCTTATTTCAATAATAATCTCGGTTTTGCAAATTTTAATATCTTTATGTTCGTCGAATTTAGTTAAAGAATTTACTACTTGCAAAATAGAATAAATCGAAAAAATCTCTATCACACTAAATTACACAGAGTCCTTTATCTTTTTTAAAAAAATAAATGATTATTTTGCTATAATCCGCACATATGCGACCCTAAATAAAGTTTGATTTTATTAGTTTGATGAACATTCTACCGTACTAAGATGTTAAATGTTTTTGACCATCATCCAATAAAGATCACCATTTTACACATACGCAATTAATCATACACTTCATGATCCTTATCACTACGTTCCTGGCATATATTTTTCTTTAGGATAGCTAAACCCGACACTTTTAATGTCTTCTTCAACTATCCCACACGATCACGAGATTTTTAGAAAGATGCATGTGTTAATTTGCATAGAGATTTTCATCTAGTAGACGCTCAATTAAGCGTGGTAAACTGCATGATTCTGAACCTTTTTTTGTAAATTCTTTTCGTCTGTAGTAGAAAATCATTTTATCTATAGTCCGATTTAATGTTTGACTAGAATTAACTTAGAAATTTAGAGTCAGGAAATGATTGCCAGAAAAGTCATAATTCCTTTTTCATGCAAGTCTTTCAAAACTTTTCTAAGTATTCTAATTTTTTTTATCGATTGTCAAAATAATAATTTGAAAGAACAGATTTATGAAAATCAGGTGACTTGTTTTTTTTAAAATAAAAAGGCCATAATTTCACTTTACTCGAGTCAAAAACAAAAAATAATCTAATAATTATACTCAAAATTGTAGAACAAAATTTTTTTTGTTAACATAAAAAAATAATAACCATGATCCGAAATTTTGTCTTGTTGCTCGTTTTTGTGGCCACACTTTCTATGATCAGTGCTCAAGTCGTTAAAAGGTCGACTGATTTTACTGGTTGTGTGGATCCATTTGAAGATGAAATTCAACAACTCGAATTAAAACTTAAGCCTGATACTCCAAAAGCTAATTCTACGCTCGAGGTTAATGTTTCTGGATTTTTAGTTAATGATATTGTCGAAGGCGATGTATTCGGTTTATATATTCACAATTTATTCTCTCAACAACCCGTATTGGTCCAAGATATAGATATTTGCAAGGAAGCTAATGTGAAGTGTCCAATTAACGCTTTCAGACCATTGGACTTAAACTTTAAATATAAATTGAAGACTTTGCCTAAAGAATACTATATATTAGCTACAATGAAACATGATACAAAAAGTCCACTTGGTACATTTGCTTGTATATTTAGAAAAATCTTTTAAATATCTATTTTTTTACTCACTTTAAAATGGGTAGATAAACTTGTAATCTCAAAGCGCAGTTTATTTTTTTTTAATATTGAAAATAAGGATATTACAATATATAAAATATACATTTTGTGGTGTAATACTTTTTACATAGAAATGTAATTGGCCTATCACATAATTTTTACATCTTTAGCTATAAAAATTTTGTATAACGTTCTTAAATTGTCTGTTTCCACATAGTAATTTAATAAAAACAATAAATAAATTATATTGTCAGCTAAGGATAGGAATGGTAGGTTGGCTTGGCTTGTCTTAAAAAGCCGGCTCAAGCCAGCTCAATTTGTATTATGTGATATCTGAAATCTGCTCTAGTAACAATACTTAGTGCAATTTTTGCATATATATATAGATATTTGAAGTAACAATTTTAAATATCCAAAGTAGCAACTTCAAATATTTAAAATAATATATAGGCCGCACAAATTTATAAAATTTGATTTTTATAACATTAACTGATGGTTAATAACATGAGCACACAGATTTTTTTTTAAAAAAAAAATTTTTACTTTAACAAATTCAAAAATCCAATGAATGTTTTTTTTTACAAAATTAAACTGGATACCAATTTAATACTTCAATTTGAAGCAGATTACGGTTTCAAACTCTATACACAGGTTATAAATATAATGATAATTTCTATTCAAATCAATTTTTAATTAAATTTAATATTAATAACATAAATTTACACCTATTGACTAATACAATTTATATTATGATCACGATGATTCCAGAAATGTTTATACCATTAAACTTTCCAAAATCGATCCTGTCAATTCTTTTTCTACTATATAAATTTAATAGTTTATAATGATTTCAAGTTTGATTAACACTTAATACAGATACAAAGCTATTCATTATATATATAATTTAAGAAAGTTCAGTAGTATTACAATCTATAAATCTCAAAAAGCAAAAATAAATTGTAAACTAAGATAAGAATTAGCATTTTCAAGATTTTTCCAATAGTTGATAATGATTATTAACTGAGTTAGTTTGAAAATTATCTTGATACTAGTAAATTGAATAAAAAGTGCTTAATATAATCTGTCAGATAGAATGATATCTTAAATGTAAAAATTGGAACACATATACACTAGTGATTGGACTCTAGTGGGTGCACCCAGGTTACCAATAGGTGGCCGATTAACTCAGGCTGGGTTAGCATAGTGGGCTTTATTCTGATATATAATCTGATTGGAACAAGTTTTTTTTTATAATTTGGCTGTCTTGTTACTTTTTATTGAGATTAAACTATACTAAGAAATTTACATTCCCTAATAATAGCTATACTTAATCTACTCGTAAAGTGACGCACCTATGCTTTCACCAGGTGTGACTTGTCTCAGTGGACTTCAAGCCTCTCTCCGGGCCCCTAACTCACTAGAGGTTATCCTTTGGTCATGGGCTGGTGTCACACACCATATTCAAATTAACTTTTTCTTTTAGCAAAACAAATACAAACACAAATAGAAAGGGCATAACAAAAATAGGAAAATACTACGGTGTCAAGTTTTGGTTCACCTAAACTAATAAAACCAAATAAAACCGATAACGAAAAAAAGAAAAACAAAAGAAAAGAAAACAAAGATAGCACTATTAAACCTGTGCGAGATTATAAAAATTATATAGTACTACAAATAACCTAGACTAAACTCTACGCTAGTTATTTATGTCTATATCCAGGATGTAAAAATGTCAAAAACCATCCGGTCTTGAAGTAAAGCTCCAAGGTTCGAAACTTCTAGATGCTATCCCATCCCATCGACATGTCTTCTGCAATGTTTCAAACATTATTACATTATCTTACACTATAACTAAAAGTAGACATGTATACATGTACGTGTCTTTCCTTTTTTGGAAGCGATTGTTGTTGTCGATCTTTTAACGGGGTACGCCATTTTTCACACTTTTTGGTGAAATTTTGTAAAGATCAAGAGTAGGAATATGGAAGAGGGTTTCAGTTTGTGGGTAGCCTTAAACTTTGGTAAAGAATGTATTGAAAACTTGCTTATTGTTCTCCTTAGACCAACTTTCTTTAACTTCGTCAGCAGAAGCAAAGCTTCTATTAAAATTTTCTATACAAGAGCACCACCTTCTTACCAGTTATCTTGTACAGAAATGCTTTTAACTTGCATACTGAATATACAGAGGAGTCCGGATGAAATATGGAAATCCTTGACCTTTGTAAAACCTATTATTTGTAGTTGTCTCTTCTACTTTTCTTCAACAAGTTTCTGTTTTCATTAGCCGTAAGTTTGGTATGAGTGATCATCGGAGAGAGTACTGATTGGAACAAGTTTGGAATGAAAAAATGTCGAAAGTTATTAACAAAAAGATATATTTAAATTATAAATATAATTTATAATTATAATTTTTAATGCTTTGATCCTAATAGTTGTTATTAAATGTATATCTGGTTAAACTTAATATAAATGTTGTAGATGATGCTGAAAATTACATGATTATATAATGACCATTGTAAAAGTTGTTGAACTTGTGAGCTGTGTCGGAAAATCTACTGGGCCAATATATATATAATAACTCAATACTTCAAAAATACTAATAATAACTTAAAGACTTTATCCAAAGCACTAGAGCTAGTTTAACCAAACCCTGATATTGATAAGGCAACGATTGAGGCATAGAAAAGACTTGGTCTGAGTAACCAGGTAACTTAGATAAGTAGAAGTAGTGTTGAGCTTAGATAAGTGAACCTTTTCCTGATAATTATACTACTATCCTCTTATTTCTTCTTTCGCTTTCTTTATACACTCTTACTAATACTATCACTTCTTTCGTAGGTACTGCGATTAGATCTCGTGATTGAAACTGGCAAACGGGAATGTGGTACAAGGTTATAGTATCACAAAATCACAATTTCAGTAACATTATATTGATCACAAATTCAATTAGGATTGTTTTATATAAAAGAGGTTGTATTACTAATACGATTGTCTCTTTTTTACTAAATACAACAATCAATGTACAAAGCTACAGGGACAAGATTAAGCAAAATTGACAAACGATTTTTAATAACAAGGATGCCATGGTTTACAATTAAGCACTTTGACTCTAATTACAAAGGCTTTGAGGACTCAAGGGTTATCGTTATGTAGAAAAGACTTTTTGAACTTACTGGGTTGTTTTTATTTTCAAGCAAATAAGCATTCTTTTTATAGTTTTTACATTGCTACTCTTTACAATATAAATTACTTTAGCTAAAGCCACAAATTTACTGAAGCTATGAAAACCGCAAAAACTATGAAAACTGTGAAAAACACGAAAACTATGAAAGCTGCGAAATTCGCGAAAACTACGAAATTCATAAAATTAAATTTTTACTATTATGGTAAAGATTATCTTCAACTTACTAATTTTGAACTTTTATAACTATCACTATACTAATGGC